CAATCGGACAATGATTGTGGGACACCTTTTGGGCACTAGCTTTATTATCGTGGGTTTCCAAATATCAGAGATAGCGCCTTTAATAGAAAACCGGTTAAACAGAGTGGTCATCGGCACTGCGTGATAATCTGCCCATTCCTTTGGAACTAAAGGCAACCATACCATTTCAAAAATAGCGGACTTAGTTATCTTCAAAATTTCCATTTCCTTGTAAACATCGATGCAAGCAAGGATATCTGTAAGATCCGCGTTGGTGAAGGAGGGCAGGAACATATAACACGCACATGTGTGTGTTAACAGTTCACTTAAGGCAACTTCTGCTACACAGCTGTTCAAAGAGTCTCCAAAGTCCACGACAATCTTGCTTGATAGATACAGTTGTAATGTATAAACCGTTCAATCATTTTATCACCAAATGTATTACAAAAGAGTCCTTTGGACAGGATAACCATGTTGTACTGATAAATCAATGCATTCTTTCCATTAGGTTGCTTCAGTAGCGACAAAAGGAATAGTTCATGTGAAGTAAATTGTTACACGTCAGCATAGATCAATGCAAAAGTAACTATAGTCAGTAAAGTGCGCACACTACGAAGACAGCATTCTGTATATGAAAACTCAGAGATCGCTTGAATCCAAGGGTGCTTGGAGTTTCACGGTATTTACCGTTAAGCAGTCTTACCGCCTTATGGTATTAACTAGTTATTTTGTTAAAGATACGAATTTGTTCTTACTGCAAAGGACACGGTATTAGTCTAAGTAACCGGGCGAAGCACGCTTTAACGGATCAAACAGTCAAGTTCTGTCCGTGAAAAATACGCGGCTTTGTTTGAAGTATGCTTGTGAAAATAACCGTATTTCTACACCGAATTTCTGGGTAAGTTTTGTATGGTTTTGTTAATGCCAATACTGAACAATGAACAATGATTTATCACGGCGTTAAAAGCAAGTGCTTGACATGTCCCGTAGGATGGTTGGGGTGAATATGATAAAATCAAACTATATCTGGGTCATCTACTAAACGTCTGCCGAGATGAATGTTTTGATAAATTACATCAGCGAAAAATTTAAAAAAATCGGGCGTAAACGTTCAGAAATATACTGGGGTGCAGTGATCGTTGACATAAGGTTTGAGAAAAGTAAAATATGGTTGCTCACGTGGTTCCATTTGATACAGAAATCCTGTAGGAAAGCATACTTAGCGTAATCCACAATAGAAGAGTTTAGATAACAAAATGCTGGGAGCTAAGAGCAACATCTACTCGTTTTTTGAAAACGTCCAAGGTAGCGGAGGATACAACTAAGTCTGGGAGTACGTTCCAGGGTTGGAATACCCGAAGGGAAAAGTAATTCCGTCGACACTCTAGATGGATGTATTGTTTCTTAAATTTTAAGCGGTTACCCCTGAGCTGCGTGTTGTGGCTAAGTTTAAGCAAATGGCGGCATATGTAGTTGGAGTCACTCAATATCTGATACGCTAATATGAGATCACCGCGCAGCCCTCGATAGCGTCCGTTGAAAATTTCCAGCAAGTTCAGCCTTCTGTGGTAAGAGTGATAGCGCAGGCTGTTTATATTATTTGTTGCTCTTCGTTGTGGTGTTTCTAACGCCTCTAGGTCGCGCTTCAACCAAGGTTGCCAGGCTTGAATAGCCTATTAAACCTGCGGGCGCACGTAGGAATTGTGCATCATTTGGAAGATTGATGGATCAAATCTCCCAAATGCCCTTCGCAGCATACCGACGTACTGGTTGCCCCTTTTTGCAGCTACCTCAGCCTGTTTTGAACAGTTGAGGTCGCTGTGTACGATCACACCACGGTCACGTTCCTGGGAGCTGGTCTGCAATCCGTTTGTCCCAAGTAAATAGGTGTAGTTGTGTCTATGGTGTAATTGTACAACGCGATATTTGTCTACGTTGAATGCTAGGACGTTCTGAACTGGCCAGCTCGACACTGTGTTAAGATCGCGCTGTAGCCGTTTGTGATCCTCCGGTCCTTTGATAGTTCGCCATATCTTGATATCATCCGCGAAAAATAGGAAATCGAAAGCAAATGATCTCTCCAAATTCTTAGTGAACACCAAGAATAGACGAGGTCCAAGAACCTAGCCTTGTGGTACTCCACACGCCACCTCGATTGCATTGAATAATGATTCTCGGAATCTCACCGCTAACCGTCATTCGTGTGGCAAATTACTAGTCCAACTCAGGATTGGGTCTCTAATGCCGTAGTTCCGAAGCTTCTGAAGGAGAATTCGATGGTCTAAGCGAGCAAAGGCTTTTGAGAAGTCCAGGTAGATGACATCGACTCCTGCTCCATCATCAACAGCTTCAGTCCAGCTATTACGTGCAATTAATATGTTAGTATTACACGAATGCTTTTGACGAAAGCCATGTTGCTCTGGGGCTATAAAGTTGTAGCTTTCCAGATACTGCATCTGCGATGATTGATTCCATAAGTTTGGATAGTACAGGAATTAGTGTTATTGGACGGTAGTTTACAAGGTTAGTGCGGCTACCTCCTTTATGGATAGGAGTGATGACCCCTCGCTTCCATACTGGTGGAAGATGGTTCTCTTCTAGACATCACTGATATAAAACAGCCAGTGGTTCTGCTAGATCACTAGCTACCGCCTGCAGAGTCTTTGGTTGGATGTTGTCTACTCCAGGTGAACTGTGCATACGCAAGGATCACAACTTCTTCAACACAGCTTCCGCAGTTAAGATGCTACTGTTTAAACCCGACAGTGGAGTAATATAAATGATGAGAATATTTGGGCTCGTTACCTGCTGGGAAGTTTGGGAGTAATGAAGCCGTAGGAGATCAGCTGCTTCCATTGCTGATCGCGTGCACCCATCAGCCGTGACTAGTGTTGGAATCCCCCGCTTCACCGCTTGAAGGCCGTTAACCTGCCTGTACACGAGTTTGCGGTTTGTGAAGAACAGCTGCATTAACTCCTTTTGATGCGTGACCTTGTCTTTGCGGATCAGTTTCACACAGAAGTTACGATGTGTCACGTATGCAGTCCAGGTTTCGACATTCGAACAGTCCTGCTGATCTCGCCATGTCAAATGCCTCTGGGACATACATTTATGTGTTCTGCTCCTCAGAAATGACTTATGGTTGTTTTTGGGCTGGAAGAACTTCTGTTCCGGTGTGCTAAACGTCCTTCCCAGGCAACATCTGGGGGGAATTCGGTTAAGAAAGTCCAAGACGTATCATTAAGAAGCGTAGATAAAACATTATAGTGCGTGAAAGTATGCACTTTATCAACCTCCTTTTCAGGAAACTCCGCATAGCATATATAGTCAAAGAGTAGAGTAACATGATCACTACGACTCAGTGATGTGCTTGTAACTATCCCGTCAACCATGAGTTTTTCCTTAACAGTTCGAAATCTTGTGGGAGGGGTTACGTGATTGTACAGAGAGTGGCTAGCAAGTAGCTCTTGCAAGCAGGCTTTAAACTACGTACCGTCGGTTGCTGGCGTTTCTATGTCGTACAGAGCTAGCACCTAATTGTAGCCAGAAGCGCAGAACATAAATAAATTGCAAAATCCTTAAGCATAAACTCTGGGGAACCAGGGGTTAAAGAGACCTTACTCATACCCACTAAAAGAAACCTACTCAGAAAATTTGGTTTACATTCAAGCAAATGATAAATGATTTTAATATTCAGTATGTTATCGTCAGCATAAGTACTACACGCTAGTAGAGGGTAAGAAATTCACCTGTTGACATGCTGCAATACCAAGAGATAAGTCGTTAACATTACAGACTACCAAAATGAAATAAAAGCAAGTACTAAGGTTATAAGTGCCACAAGATGCATCGGGTGTACAATCGAGTTTAGTGGGGGCAAGCAAACAGTAGACAGTAAAGTTACTTTGTTGCAAACTAATTGGTTGATGTATATGACGCCGCCTTCGGAAGCTTACAAGCGCAGTCGAATCGTAAGATACGATGTCCAGCAAGTTGAACAAAGTAGCCACAGGAGTCAGGATATACTTAACGTTTATGTACTAACATAATACCTGAATTTGCATTTTCCTTGCTTGGCATGTTGGCAGGAAATAGTGCACACTGTTGAAAATTTTGCTAAATTTGCGCTCTACTTATGAAACAGTACCTGACATTAACTTGCGGAGCAGTACGCTGCTTTCTTAATTTCCTAATGCACTTTTTAAATATGCGTCAAATCGTGTTGCTGGCTTTGTGGCTGCATCCGACATATGGTGCGTTCTGCGCAATGTTTGAATGTAAGGTGGAATTCGAATGGATCATGGGGTGGAAATTGAATTCGATAAAGGCGCAATATTTATAATGAGAACACACTAGTAGCATTGTGGTTGACGGATAACGTACTGGGAAAGAGCAAACGAGACGAACGAACAGTGTCAGCTGCAGCTAATCTCAAACGGCGTACTGAAAACTTTGCTCAAGGCGGAAACGGTACAATCGGCTTAAGTAGAATGTTCGTATGTATGTTTGTTGCACTGGTTTTTACTGACTATCATTTTCGTACCCATTAATCGCATTCGTTAGTAGGTAATTTACGAATACACAGGGGAAGATTTGTGCGAGTAAAGGAGAACACAAACGTTATTCTGGGAGTAGTGACTGCCATTACAGTCCACAACTTCCAAAATTGACAGAGTTGGATCACATTAATGACATCAGAATTATTCCACTAAGAAGCTTAACCCGGCAAGACATAGCTGGTCAATCCGCCGCAGGTAGAGTTAAAGGAAATTCACACAAGAGCGACGGCAGATTTAAACGCTTCACCAACCTTACGTTAGGGGTATTTGCCAAGAGCTCTAACTTGTCATAAGGAATGATCGGATCTTTAACAATATGGAATACTCCGGTAAAAAGCTTTTCCGTTATATTACCATTAATTAAATTAAGTCTTACCTGTCATATTTTACAATAAGTTTTAATCTGAGCCGATTAATTTAGCTGCATCTCCTTGAAGGCATATTTTGCCATTTTATCTCCAGAATGCACCCCTACAATCCAGCAAACACATGTGCCAACTGCGAACATCAGGAAAATATGTGATTCCGCAAGAAGTCAGTTGGCGGGCGACGTCGATGACAGAACCAGGAACGTACCTGCTGGCTCACTACCTCATAGGTCCATCAGATTCTTTGCTCTCCGTCAGTGTGGTGGTTTCTGTCAACTCCAATCTCCGTTTACTTCAAATTCCGCCACTTCATATTCGACGTACTCGGCCAACTTAAAGCCACTCACACTGATTTATCAGGGATATTTCAGAGTTAGATATTATCCTCTGGATCCAACAAGTATCACAGACGAACAGACTCGGTGAGTTTAGATTGTCTTCTGGATCTCGCTATATGGGAGACAATGCTGTGCCGACTGAACTTATGATGCACGGATAACAAATTACTAAAAACGATAGCTATTAATAGACAGTCGGATAAATTGCGTGATGGTCTCCATTAGTTCCTAAGTGGTTTACTTTTGAAAAGTCTGTAATAGTTTTTGGGTGTTTCTTATTTTGCACAATCAGTGTAGAAAAGAAATGTTCTGGACAAGACTCGATTGAACATGGGATGACATTGGTGAAGAAAATGAAATCTTCAAGAAGATGTGGAGCAGTGGTTTTCTAGTGTACAATACATACATACTATTCACTGCCTTCAAAAGGCCTAAAACCGACCGAGAAGTCGTACCAGAATGCCTTGGAGATAAACTGGTTTTTATGATTGCTCTATGATAGCAACGGTCCTCGCTTGACCTGATCCGAAGTAGCTCTTGAGACAAGAGTGACACGTTAGATTAAATCAAAGTACTTTGCAACGAACGTGTTAACTTAATCATCAAACAGATTTACGCTTGCTGGTATGTTGACTAGTTTTTATGATAAAGTTATTTTTGTTGCCCTCATACCACACCGCGACTGACGGATCTCCGATGGAAGTCCGGTAATATTGACTGACGTGCTTTGGCGAGAAAGAAGTTTCCATGTGCTAATACTACCAAATTGTATTGATGGAAAGCATCAGGCTCTTACAGTGCGGACTCATCTTTAGCATTTAATCCGCAAGCACATGTTTTCCACTTGTAGTCAGGCCGCCATGCTTAACTACCACCCAACTGAACACTTGTTCATCTCATAAGAGGAATCTCAACTTATCTCTAACTGTTGATGTGTGTGCTGCAGCTTACAATAACCTTACACCATTCCGGTGTCCGTTTCGTCTCTCAATATGATAAAGACGATCCGATGGGTGGGCATTCACCTATACCTGGCCATCTCAGAACAACCAACGGCCAGTTTCCGATATACCATACCGTCGACTTTTTGCACATAATTCATAATGTCTCTTTAGGTGGAAGAATTCCTTTTAAATTCGCAATGGGGTTGATCATTTAGTACTTCAAATACAGTTGCCAAATGCTTTGTTTCATACGATCTGCGCTAAGAGGGGAGTTGTAAACTAACAATCTTCGTTAATTGATAAAACTCTAACAGATAATGGTGGGATACTCTGGCCCTCCTTAATTATACTCTGCCTTCGAATATCCATAACTTTATCACTTGATAGCGAAATAAGAGTATGAGAGTATACAAGTAAATAAATGCTGTGTGTGGCTAATTTGTTTTCCTAAGCTTTGGTAGTCAGACATGCTTCTGCAGCCCCGTTCCAGTGTACAACCACTGAAATCAGGTTGAAGCAGTCTACTAGTAGGAACGTATTACCCCATATTTCCACCATTACAGTTGCGAACACTTCCGGGATGCAGGGAATAGTTTCTGATGCATTAAACACAGCCCCAAATACACTTTTCGTATCCAATGGAAACTTGGAGTGCCATGAGCAGTATGGGTGCTATAAAATATTCCTAGCTGGTCCGAGCTTCTCCGGCGTACATGTTGCTCATCAGTAAGTAAATCTACATAACAGTTCCTAAGGTAGCGAAGATCTGCGGGGTTAGGTACTCAATGAAAATACCGCAGCAGGTTCACAGTCCGTAAACAACAAATAGTTGTAAGGTATCTGCTAGTGGCTCGATCAAATACTTTGATGAAAAGAGCAACAAATGAGCTTACTAGTCGGTATCTGAGCTGCAGTCTATTTGATCTTGGATCCATCCTCTGAGCGCAGTAAGAAATGCACGACCAATCAAATTCATTGATGACTGTCACTTAGCACAGATAGTTCAACTGGGGTACCAGACTAGTCCTATTTCAAAGCAGATTCGCTGTACCCACATTTTGTCAGGGCACCCACTGCACCCACTGTTTGCTGCTGAGTTATCTGCGGGGTAATGGCTGATTATGACGCGTGGCAGTGAAAGCCGCAAGGAAGCTGTCTCGCCGATGCCGCCTTATCTTTGCACGATAGCCAGCTGTTTGTGACGGAATGTTGTCTACACAGGGGGTAGGCGCCTTGACCCTGAATGTTTGCTTAGGGCATTAAGGTTTTCAGGTAAGTCCCCCTTCTCTCCCTCTTCTTATTCTTTATTTCATAGGTCCTCATGGTTGTATGGCAGCGAAGCATCAGTTCAAATGGCTGATGTACTGCTGTTGATGCTGATGATGACCCACTGCAACCACTGCCGTTTCGTCATTTGGGGAGTTACCAGCAGTGCGTACTATATCGGTTTGCTGTGGGAAGAGCACCCGCGGTCCTAATCTTTTGAGCCCAGTACCACGAGAACTATACCATTTGGGGTATACAATGTATGAATTTGATGACAGACTTTTCACTTAGTAGATTGTACTTCAGCCGCCTTGGTAAAGTGGATGATGAGTTAGTTATAAAACCTGTAAACCTACGTGGAATTATAAGTATACACACAGATGTCCGTCCTTACATAGCAGCAACAAGAGTTGTTGCGGTCACTAGTCTGCGTCTATCCCAAGGACTTTTTCAAGACGGCATCCGAAATATTGGTTGATATAGATTTTCAGCGGTGGTCTCATTACGAAGTTTACTGTCTTCTTGACACATTCATCCGTTCCTAGCACACTAGTAGAAGCAGACTTTGTTTGTTCTTGGAGTTACTGAACGTAAACAAATGCCCCTCGCAACTTCAGAACTGAATACCAACTAACGAAAAGCTCGCTTTGCTCATACCATGGTATGGTAACTTGCTTTTACTGTATAGATTTTGATAATATCCACCCCTTGAATCCGAGCATGTATTTTAGGAAGCGTCACTGCCATTTGCATCACGTTGTGCGCATCACAACAAAGCTTCCGTAGGTCTCAGTAATGGATTTTCCACAGGCACCTAATGTTTTCACTGTTTTACTTTTATGGTGCACTGTCATTTGCTAGGCCAAGGCATAAAAGTTTATGCCATTTACTTTATTTCACTGGTTGACTGTTGCTTAAACCCTTCAAAGGACAGACTTGTCCCTTAAAGCTTGGCGTACAGTTCAAGTTGTCAGCCTAGATCTTTATGGAATACGGCGGTTCGGCAACTGCTTGGGTTTCAAAGAGTTCAGCTTAGCCACCTCTGACGCGCTCTTCTCTCATTTGCTAACGTTTATCCTTATGGTGAAGTAATACAGGGTCATATGTATGCAAGTAAATTAAAATGGTTCCCTCATGCACCATGTTTTTACCCTTGGCTTACTGACGGAAGCGTAAGCCTTTAAGCATTGCGCAGCTAGTTCCACTCTTCACTCAGGCCATCTCTATATGGAGAGTCCGAAGCAGGGGGAAACCGGAGGTTGAGTGCCGTTTTGGGGGAGAGTGGCTTGGAAACCCTCCACTTCGGACGGTGTCCCAGTGATTGCAAGAGTAATGGTTTGTTTCAAAGTGGACCCAAGTAAGATAGCGTATCGCAAATGAGACACAAAGCGAGTACTCCAAGACACAATAAGTACTTGGTAAACTTCACAACCTGCTGTATGCTGAAAAGAGAAGTCTTGACATTGCATAAGAAGCTCGTTATTGTAAATTTCGTGTACGAAGGTGTAGGGTTCTTGGATCACCGAGGCAGCGAAGAAGGAACAAAACACTTCACAGATGGCAAGTGGTCAATTGAGGTGACAGCCCACCACATCTCTCATCCGTTTGATGGAAGCGGGCTAGTCGTTAGTTCTACAACACAGTAATTTCATTAGTGTATTTCTTCGCATACCTTCCGTACGGCGTTATCCTTGTTCTTTTTATTCACATCATTTGTGAATGTCTGATACAATTGGTGGATTGGTACAATAGTAAAATTTATGAGAAATAAAGTTTTTCCGATTTTTTTGATTACCTTTCTCATTTACAGGTTGATAGAGTCGTACTTAAATTCTTAGAACCATGAACGACACGTGGGTTTTACAAGACAACTAGGTTTATAATACAGTAGATCTGGTAATAAAGCTGTTACATTTAAGTGTAGACACTTGTAGAAAGAGAAACGGATCCGCTTCGAAAGGTCGATTAGATCTTCGAAATTTTCTATTAATTTCTATAAATAACATGTCGGCTGATGTAACGGAGTCTGATGTGCGTTTCTAAACCGAAGAAAAGCCGCATCATCTTACATTCACTGTCAGGTAGGTCGTCTGACATGTCGATTTGAGGTTCTGAAACCTCCAGAGTGAATACTAAGTAAAGTTTGTAGACCGACTGAGTCGGATTGTTGACTTACTGAGTCTAGCCGTCAACTGACGGTCGACAAGTGATCTGTGTGCAACGATGAGCGTGGGTTTGATAACCAGGTTTTTTTTGTTATTTATAATCCCCAACTATTAGCTTTTTATGGTAACACAGATGCTAAATCAAACGCATAGAGTAAAGTAGCTATATCCCTGCCGTTCGCCATCTGTGGATTGTAGATTAGGCGAGGAATATCGTAGAAGAGATGGCAGTGACTGATAGCCATATAGATTCGTGGACATTGACTGAAGGTTACCAAGAAGCTCCGCAGTAAATATTTGATGGAAATACATGGCACATCCGCCTTCTAGTTTCGTGCCTCGAACCTTCCGAAAAATGTGATAGTTGAGATATCTAGATAGGGTCTAACCTGTCAGAGATGTACCGCGTTTCGGTGACAAAGATTATATGTAGGGCGCTTAACCGAGCAAGCGTGCTGAGAATATTAAAGTCATTATTTATCCATCTTAGATTAATTAAAATAAATAAACAGCTATTGCACATAGAACAGTTATCCGTGAGTCCCTTAGTACTTTTGGAAGAAAAAAAGGATAGGCACGGAATTTAAAGAAGTGGTTGATGGGAACGACTCTCTCAGTCGTATGCTCAAGTGTAAGGGCATTTTATGGCCTATGCTTGGTGGTAAACTTGGGAGGGAGGATAGGGGTGAAGTCTCGAAGTCAGGTTGGGGTTTCCTTATCATTGTGTTAGTCACGCCACGTGGATGTACTGTGGGAAGAGTAGAACAAAATAGACTGTCTCTGCTGAATGTATTAGTGGTGAAAGGTCTTGTGGAACCCCCTCCTTATATGTTAAAAGCGAGCTGTAGGAGTGATGAAATGTGAGGGGCTGCGTAGGTGGGGCACATGTTAGACGGTACTACCGTGTTATTAGTTTCGTCATTTTACTTTGTATAATATTGTGGAAGACCGGAAGCTGTTAAGTATGCTAGTATGTCGGAGGTTGTAGACGGATGTAACTGGAAGGCAGTTCTTTCTGGTTCCAGTGAGCTTGAGATAGTGCGTTACACTACGATGGTGAGTGAGTTGTTGCTACGGAGTCTTGGACGCTACCAATATTTAGGCGTCTACGCATTGCATGCAGCTCCAGTCGCCGATTAGTTATGGTAGTCATCGGGTGGTAATTTTGTGTTTACACCATTAGTTAAACAATCCTAGGGTGAAGCTCAGCCTTTGTGCTTTTGGCAGATTTAGCGGTCCCTTAGCAGCTACTAGTTGTCCAGTACTTACTATAGTTATTAAGGCGATCAATATTTTGCGCTCTTTGTACCAAGCAACCTACTTATTAGCCCTATTAGCCGCCTTGACTATTCGAGGGGATATTTAAAATAATAGCCTGGTGACACGCGATGTGTTACTGTACTCATTTTTAACCTTACACGACGTCTTACACGACGCGACGGTCAGGCGTACTGCCTATGTGCATTAGTGCCTCAGTGCACTACAAATCTACTATTAACACGACCCAGCTAGACTGAAGCAGTGGAATCTGACACAGGAGTTGCTGTAGTCTCTCTCGAATGCTCAAAGGCGTTCAACCGGTTAGACCATAACATCCTACTCTGCAAACTCCAGACCTGTATTGATGATCATCTCCAAGGCCCAATCAGAAGCTTTTTTCTACACTGGCGCTTGGAAGTACGTGCGCGTGAATAGCTGTCAGGTCCCATTCGAGTTGAATGCAGAGTATCACAAGGATCGTCATTAGCATCTCGATTATTGTTGATGTATATTAACGATATCACTCGCATCATTGGCTCGAAGTACCTTCTTTATGCCGAGGACATCAAGGTGTGGAGGGCGATCAATACACCAAATGATATCACAGCACTTCAAGTTGATCTGTATGAGGTATACGTGTGGTCAATCCAGCATCTACCTCAATTCAATGTGGACAAATGTAGAGCGTTCTACCTGAACGTTCGTCCAATCCTAAAACTCGGAAATCAGGAGCTTCAAACGTCTTCTGGCATGAAGGATCTGGGTTTTGGTCCAGGCCGACCTTGGATGCTCGAAACAAACTAAAACAGCGTCAAGAAGGGGCATCCAACGCTTGGACCTTCTGAAGCGTGCATTCGGATGATTCGACCCTTCGTTTTTTCCGCAACCTCTCAGCTCGTACGTACAAAGACATGTGGAATACACAATATAGGTCTGGCACTCATGGCTGAGGAGAGATGACATCGCCTTGGAGATACTCCACGCAGGGCAACCAAGCATGTCAAAGGTCTGTGTAATTTGCCATATGTACGAAGGCTACAAATGCTCGGAGTCTTCAACGGACAGTAGCGCGATTGCGCGGGGGCCTCATTTTGACTTACGAGGTTTTGAGAGATACCAACCACACGTGTCGCTACTTGCTAGAGCCCAGTCACAACAGCAATTTGAGAGGCCACCATCTCAAGCTGGCAGAGTAACAGTTCTTTGGAATGCCATCTTACTTATTTTTCCGTACGCGTTTGCAGAACGTGGAATGCCATAGCGGGATCTGTCATATGTGTTCCCACGCTGGCAGAATTTAAAGCCCGGGTTGACCGTGTCCTTATTCCGCTGCACCACCTTACATGACTCATTACCCATGGATAAACACAGGTGTGTCTGTAAGAGAGTTAACTAGCGGTCAAATCCCAGATTTTGTTCCACGTTTTTCACCTCTTGTATGTGTACACCAGAAGGAGACACGATGTTTGTCAACATCCCATTTGCCGTCATTGCTTATGGATTTACCTTGGATTTGCCGTCTATACTAGGTATACTTCATTGAATTCACTGGTTTAAACCCAATTTTGCTAACAGGTTTTATATATTTTGAAGTTTCACCATAACCATCCTACGGGACCTGTTAAGTATTAGCATTTTTATCTATATAAAATCATTGTTCAATTGTCTCAACTACCTACCCCACCTTTACCAGTTCTCTGTAATATATTAAATGCCATCTGCCCTTTCCTCTATCGTTAACACACTGGCGATCCCATTGCTGTCATCGGGCCTAGTGAAATAAAAGAGCGTCAAAGGTATTATTCTTTGTCTAAGATGTCTTCGTGCATCGAATTTAAAATATAGATAATAATCCTAGTGACGCTGGATAATAGCAGTGTGGATTTAGTCAACCCTATGCTCCACGGCCTGTTTCTTCTTAAGCTGAATAGTTCAGTTAGCGATTGCCACATTTAGGAGTGGGATTCTACCTGCTATGCTGACCCCCTGAATCCCTGTCGATAATAAACACATCCATAGTACTTATCCTTTCTTTCTGTTTCAGTTTGCGTCCAATCCACAAATGCTAAGATATAGACTGCACAAAATATTGGCAACGGATTCATCTCACTTTGCGTACCCTTAGTGGTAGTGCAATTCATTCGTATCCCTTTTTGGACCATACTTTTCACCCTCTATACGTCATGCACTGTGTCGAAATAAGCGAATATACTGTACAATGTGACTTACGACTTAACAAGGCTAAAGCTTGAAAAACCGAGGTAGTTAGCGGTTTGTGCGTCATGTTTTCTCACAGAAAACAGTGACTGAGAGCGTCCGTTATGTAGTTTGTGCGTCGGTCAAACGCCTCTGGTTTACCGTAACAACACCAGGGACTCCGAACAACAAAGCTGGTGATAAACTCCCTGCTGAGCTGACTGTTTCAGTACTGTTCGTCTACACCCACTTATCTCAAACAGAGTTAACAGCAACACACAGGTATTAGCCATACGGGTTGTGCACTAACCACCAGTATCATTTGCAAAATACTCGCCAAACCTTGTCTTTACTGGCCTTGGTGACCGTCGACTATCCGACCAACATCTGTGTGTGTAATTACATCGACCTTAGGGCCGGTCGTTTCATACTCTAGAAGAAATTGAAATTTCTTAATCTCGAGTGCATCTCAAGCACAATCCACCGTGAGAACATTTCAGTCACACGGTTAGATTAGACACACATTCTGCTGTTCAAGCATGCCGGTACGCCTGATGCAACCCATAATGCTTATATCTGTTTCCACAATTTAATATTTTCTAACTGAACATATAGGCCACCATTTGTTTTTGACTGTTGTTGACCTCAATTCAAACTTTCGACTCGAATCGGCTTAACAGGTACAGTAAAAGTTAAAGCTTCACTTTGAACAGTGATGTATTGGATTAAGGTCAACAAACAGTCAGAGAGCGAAGGAGTGGTGGGATGCTTCGTCTACAACCAGTTTTTCTTTAGCTGTACGGCTGTCTCATAGTTAGGAAAGAGGAAAAGGCAGGAACAGCTTTACTACTAAAGCCAATATCATTGTACTGTTGTACACTGCTTGCACTGACATGCCAACTGGTCGCATTACGAAGTAACTTGTCTATTCTTTACTATTGTGTTCGGGAGCATTTTATGGTCCCATTCTTTATGTAAGGATGAGTCTGGTTTATGCGTACTATTTCGTCATACCCACAGAAGTGACTAAAGGCACACCGATGACTAGAATTTTAAATGTCACAAGCCTTGGTTAAGTTGTTTTAAATTCATCCCGAAGAAAGTTTAACTGCCACGTGTCTCTACTGCTGAACTGATAGCCAAAAGTTTATTTGTCATTCTTCATGTTGCAGCGACACCAGCGGTATCTGTATTATTGATGTTTTCCACACCAGGTACCAGATATTTATCCAAGTTCGCTCCCATGTGCTATCTGGAAAACTGCGCGTGGACGAAGATCTGTTCGTCACTCTTTGTGGACTGATCCTTCAGTGTGAGTGGTGTTTTCTACGGTTGTTGATATGTGATCTACTTTGTTGGGTGACAACCACGCAGTTTACTCTGCCCGTCAGCCTGTACTCAGGTGCTAAACACACCCTTTCAGTAATAGTATTTTAACGATTGGCTTCCGGTAAGTAAAAATAGAGGAGCACTCGGTCCATGTTAGAATCCGGCTATTAAAAAAACGTTCCCAAATCCAGTGGTTTCTTATAACTAATATACGCGGCAATTATTTTAAAGCGCTGTTTCGGAGCAGTTCTCCTGGTCTGTTTAAAATAAATGTCCTGTGCTTTGCAACGATAATCAAAGATCACTAGTGAAATTTTCGGATCGGCGGCTTTATTTACTCAGTTCTCCGTACCTGAAGCATGCACATATAATCAGCCTTCTTCACAACATTCTTCAATTCTTACTGAAAGGTGAAGATAAACCACTGGTGGTTGGTCTATTCCATCTATTCAAGGCTACTTGGTACATTAACGTAATGTCATCAGACAGCAGTTTTTCAGCCGTCAGCCTCAGGAAAGGTTAAAGTAATTGGTACGAAGATAAACGCCCGTGATATTTCCATGGCAACTAAACTGCGTGACGACTTAATGGTCTTCATGAGAGCCTAGTTATTGGGGGTTGCGTTGGATTTCACCCTGGTTGACGATCCATTGCTCGCATTGGCTTCGAGTCAGCCGTTAGAGTAGCAGCACGCATAAAGACAACCGGCCAAGTTGGTTTTCCTTGGACTGAAATCCGTCTTCGACTTTATTGACCGTGATAGTTTGTGCTACTGCCGCTATGAAGGACGCGCCGAAGAAGCTTCCTACCATTCTGCCTTGTTCCTATCGTGGCACCCGAGGCAGAAAGTTATCTTCTGCATTCCCCACAGCAAGTGGGGGTCCACCGTGAGTTTAATATATCCCTTTTCTTCTGCAACTTTGTGATCAGGATGATAATACATGACTGTCCTGTCATTCTCTTTCAGCGTGTAACTTCTGCCGGTCAACTAACTAGCAAACCTATGGTAAAGGCGTAACATAGGGCTTCCGCGGATGTGGCCCAGTGGAAAATTAGCTGAATTCTTTCTCAACTCCAGATACTATGTAAAATGATGATGATAGGTGATAGCCCAGCGGCTAAGCAATCGCTGCTGAATAGGCTGATACTTACTGCTGCACATTTCGGCATGTACTGTAACGTCATCAAAATACAATGAGATGTTGCAGGACTGCGCTTACATACTAGCGACTCCTGCTATCACTGAAAGGCTACTGGATGTGTTCAGTCGGTTCAGGTACCTTGGTAGTTGTGGCATTTCTGGTCGTTGTATCACCGAGGAGGTGACCACGTACCTGCAAAACTAGTGTAACTTTTAATGTCTCAGCTGTCCAGGAAGATGTGTGACGACAGGTTGTTAGTCAAAAACAGGTTGTACAGCGTTGCGATGAGGCTGATGATACTCTGCAGGCATGCAAGTTGGCCACTTCGCGCTGAAGACGGTGATTAGGAAGCAATATTCAAACTTGATGGTACCATTTGGTAGGCTGATGATCCGATATTCACCAGTTGATGCTTGGAATGAAACCTTTTGGTTCCCTATCGTGGTGTCTGTAAGACTGCAATCATCAGCATTGGTTAAATCGAATCTACCCTATGCTACTTGAGCACCATGCTCGCCATACATTAAACAACCTTGTTGTGTTTCATTTGTCGAAACTGAAGTGGCCAGTCACAGGCCTCGTAGATAGGCATAAAGAAATTAACTGCGGGGTTTGGTCAGCCTGATGCCATCGGCGTAAATTGGGGCTTGGAGACCTAATCTGACATGTTGCAGTCCCGGAGACAGTGATGCTGTCGCATTCTGTCTTTCGCGTATAGTTGAAAGCACTCCATACAGAGTAATTTTATCTGCTTTTCATGACCTTTTTGCATTATGTTTGCGTTCTGCTTCACCTGCATTGCTACAGTCAAGTTCGGTTATTTTACCCAGGTGAATCGCAGCAGCTACATCCATAGTACCTCAGTGCCCGGAACATCGTTGTTCAACTGGGCTGATTTGATTTCCAAAGTTCCATACTGTTGTCGTATGGGGATGCGATATATACCTCAAATGGCAGTTGCTATTCGGCCTCGTTCAAGTTGCTTCATCTTTTGACAACATGAACTCTTTGCAATACAGTCCTGAATGTGCTGCTAAAAGCTCATCATCATCACCATTACACACGTTAGCTACAGGTGGGAAACACCTCAGCCACAGTGCCACAATACATAAAAGTAAAAAAGGGGGAATGCGACAGGTGTAAGCCAACTGAGCTACAGCTAACGAATGGGCATCGTTCCGGTAAGCTACCAGCCGGCTACTATGCAGCAAAAACAATTACTATGCAAAATTATATAAGGCTAAATAGCGCGATCGTGGTTGGAAGAGGAGGCTAAGAGGGAAGGGGTGGGTCAAAGAAACTCACAGCACGAACGCCACTGAGGTCGGCTCCTAGATATATCAGCAAGTATATCCAACCAAACGTGTTCATCCTCTTTCGGAACCCAACCAGGGAGCCGAGACGCACCAACCGAGGCCAGCTTCGGAGTGAGTGTCTTCATTACTCTCGACCAAGTCATCGCTTGGACACCCCTCCACTTCTTCCATCCACACCCCCGGCGCGCAAACAACGCACGTCGCAGGAGTCGGTAGGCTGGCATGCATAACACGTGGCCGAGCCATCGGAGACTGGTGCGTGAAATAACGGTGCTGAGCAGTTCAATTCCTTGTCCTGTGCCGTAAACAAGGCGTCGAACACGCTCGTTGCTCACGCGGTGTTCCCACCATATGTGAGCTAAATTGCGAAGACACCGGCGATCGAACGCAACTAGCCTCTTTGTATCCGTTTATCTAAGTGTCCAGGTTTCACAATCGTATAGTAGGGTCGAACGTAGTGCTGCATTGTACACTACCCTTCAGGGCAAGAGTGATGTCGCGCGGACGCCATAAATGGCGAAGGTTAGCAAAAGCGCCTCGAGCTTTTGCTATATGGTTCGTGATCTCATCTTCAATCCCACAGGCGCTGATACAACTTCCCAGGTAGTTGAATTTTTGAATGACTTCTAGCTGACCCACACCAAAGGTCAGCGATGGAAGCGGTCCATGCCAATCTTGGAGGAACTCTTTGCACTTCGATCGTGCAAAGCAAAGCCCAAATCGGCAGACAGCCAGTGCTAATCTGTCCAGTGCAGCTTTCCACGTTTGTGAGCTGTCACAGATTAGGGTAATATCATCAGCATATCCTAAGTCAATAAGTCGTTCTCCTGGGAGCAGATCCACACCTTCTATGCCGTGTCCTGTAAACGCGATTTCCATGACTTCATCAACAGCGAAGATGAAGAAGGAATGGGAGAGCGGACATCCTTGTCTTACACAGGTGAAGATGTTAAAGGGCGACGACAGACTGCCGTAAGCCCTCACTCTGCCATAGCTACGCGCGTATAATGCTCGGATAACATTTACATATTTATCCGGTACACCTTTCCTTAGTAGACAGCCCCCAAGTGAACGTCTATCCACCGAATCGAATGAACCTTTGATATCGAGGAACATGACAACGCTAGGCCGATAGAAGTTATAGTCAAAAAATTTTCATCCACATTCAATCAAGCGACGGTCAATCGGTGTGTTTTAATTCATACTACAATTAATTAAAAAGCGTTAAAAAAGTAGAAGTCGTGAAAAAAATAAGCATTATTTGGCGCTTCCAGCGAAACACCATCGAATTTTCACAGACATTATCTCCCTGATTGTCGGATCGAAAAAATGGCTTTCCCCGTGGGCTCATTACTGCACCACTTCCCAGACAGTTTATCTAACACTCTTACAAGTTCTCCTGCCCATGCGTCAGTGGTTGCTTTTGCGCTCGCTGTCGCGTATTTATCTCATTGGTTATGCGCCGTCAGCCAATAGGAGGTCGGTTTTAGGTCTGGAGGGAAATCTAATCATGGAGGGGCGAAGGGGTGCCGACCGCAAATGCTCGAGAGCAATTCATCCGCAGGGCGATGACGGATGACAGGACGCGGGTGAGGCTAGTGAAGCGTTGGGTCAGCAGATACATAGTAGGATGACGTTCAGACACTGTAGAACGAGGGGTCGGAGCATGCCCCATGTTATCCTTTTAATAGATCCTGTTGACGAAAAGAGCTGCTATTTGCTTCGCATTTCATCATAGCCTGTAGCCATCGTCATTGCACCCAAAGTTACCAAATGCCTGCATTGGCGTACCAACTACTGTTGCCTCCTGTGGCGGACGTAAACTTGCCTCCCTCTCTGGTGGTTTGAAATCCGTTTACTCTCATAATTTCGGACAGCTCTTAAAGACCTTGTTTCATATAACAACAAACAAAGATCCAACTATACAGCGCTGTCGTAAATTCAGGAATTTTATTGTTGCAGTACTCGTGAACAAGATGTACAGCCACACTTTTCGTGCATTACTTGAGGCAGTAGCATTGACAACATTCTCCATTGTCAATTCCGCTCTCAATGTGGAGAACTGCGACTAATGAGCCTTGTATGCTTCAATGACGACTGATGGTAGTTCGTTATGAGCTTACGTTTCGAGAACGCGCTCTCACAGCTGGCTATGCTAATAGTTCGGGTAAGCAATATGCGCCGCAGGCTCCCCAAGTGATATTTCGGTATGAGGCTTAACAGCACAGAAGATCATTAATGGAGTATTTTACTGAAGCTTTCACAAAATACTGCAATTTTCCTTCGGTAGGGATTCCGTTATTTTAACTCTTCGTTGAAATTACTAAACGGACAATCAAACTTATTATCAGGCAGATTTAACGGTGTAAGAAACGCAGATCTGTTCACTAGGTCATGCATTTTCTGAAATTAATGGCGTTTCATTAGTCAAAATGTTTATGAGAAACAGCATTTCTCGACTAAACTCTGCATCAAATCCCATCGATATGTCGAACAATTATCCACCGTCCATTCATTTCTTTTGG